TATCATACCTTACATAACTTGAATATTGAAATATAAAATTCACAATACCGCATACCCAAATATGCATCAGCATTGCAGAAGCATGTACTATTATATGAGATGTATTCACACTATTTCGTTTAAGGTGATGAAGGACTGGTAGGACATCTCATATAACTGATTTGCTGGTAATCTCAAAACTCTATTTTTATACGAAATATAAGTAATGTACTCGATTGTTATAGTAAAAATACATTTGCCTAATCGACAATCCCACCAAAAAATGTGATTGGGGAAAAGGCCTGGACTGTCTTGAAATCAACATCTGCCCTGTGACCTAAGGCCATTCGTGGCAATGTGGCGGAGTGGTTAAATTGTCAAACTCACATGCTGCCTCTTCACGGTTTGACTTCCACTGGGGATCGAACTGCTGTCAACCCTGGATGAGAACAATTTTTGGGAAAGGAAGGATCGGTAAAATTCAGTGGAAACGTCAGCTTTACTCATATCGTAATGGGAAAATTCTTCTACCAGTCCTTCATCACCTTAAACGAAATAGGTTGAATACATCTCATATTACTGATTGACTTGTAATCTCGAAATTCTATTTATATACGAAATATAGGTACTATTATATTTTGGCTGTGAGTATATCCACTTCATTTTCATAAAGTGACTAGCCAAGTGACTAACTAAACTAAATATCAAAGTAGCTAAGCCAATCGTGGAATATGAAGAGAAGATGGGTTTTGAAGACTCTCTTAATTGATTAATAATGGCATACCTTTTACTTCGTTTGAGAAAGCGGGTGGAAGGTATTCCAAGATTTGCGTCACGGAATACCGAAGGAGTTTTGCATTAGACTTTTGTCTGTTAAATTGTGCGAATAAGAACTCAGCTCTCCGTCCTACGACCCCGATGACTCCATAATAAGCTTTCGTCCTTAATGTGACGGGATAATAGGGGTCTTAAGACGATTAGCCGAGATAATCTTGTCACAATTCAATAGATACAAGTCCAAGGCAACCTTCCTTCGTTATCCGATGGGGCCAAGTTCCATCCGTCTTCTCAAACGAAATGAAAGGTATGCAAGTATAAATCGTGGACTATCTCATTAATATCTCAATACCAGATGTGCTTTTTCGTAAACTGTATTTTTTCATACGAGGACTAACTGGGTTTCGAGGAATCTCCTAAACAACATTGTTAGAGAGACCGTCGTTTCGTATGAAAGTGCATAAAAATATATTCGCAGGTCGATCTCACCAGAAGAGGACGGATGAATCTTGTTGTACTGCGGCCGTTTAGTACAACGTTCAGGTGGACGCAGTCGACGAGACATCCTCCCTAGCTTCGGGTAAAAATGGGCTGAGTTTTCGCCCATCGTATGATGGATATCATCAGAGCTGGAACTCATTCTTGTAAAAGTATTACATAATACTACGTCAAGAAGACCCAGTTTCGTGCCAGGCCAGTCTCCGAGACCCTACTAACCAAATTCGCCTTTGAAAAGGAAGGCTCGAGTAATAATATTTTAAAATTTACTCTAAAATCCTCTTCATAGCATGCATACAGCTTCTTGACTATTGTCAACTATAACGTGACGCTGTTCATGCCTTCGTTCGACGGTATACAAGCTCCCACGTCTTTCAAAAGCGTCGAGGAGTCATTCAGTTTTCATCTTCGACAGGGCTCAAGCATTACGGTTTACCACACCTACTTCAGGCACACCATGCTATTTACTAGTGGCCACAAGACGAACCTCTGCTGAAGATTGTAAATGTGAAAATTCATCTTGGTTGAATAAATCTACGACTAAAATGAATTGATGCATTGAATTTCCCAATCAGAATCAGTGGTTATCTGCTGAATTGAGTTACGAATGGAAACCTGCCATCTCATCTCAAATGTTGGGGATCTGGTAACTGGTGGTCTGGAGCCAAACAATCTAGTCTGGTAATAGGGTTAAACCTGAATTCGTCAAACTGAAGCAGCCACTATGTCTTATTCACCCTCGAGTCGGTTGTTCTGAGACACATAATTTACATTTTCCACACCCCCTGTTGTCTGTGTTGCTTACACGCTTGCCTAAGAGAAAAGTATAAGGCGAAAGTGCATGTGATACAACCGATTGTTGACGTGCCTACAGATGAGGCAAATTGGGTGTGGCAGATCTGCCGAGTTCGTGCATCACTCTCGTCCTACACATGAGCAAGCAGAGCCCAAATACATTTTTGCCACCAAATCTGATATCGTTAATCAATTTGCACTCAACCGGAGGGTTGAAGGGCAATTGGGCATCCGCTATCTATTCGCAGGGTGGCCCAAGCCTGGAGCGACAAAAGTAGCGCTGAATACAGGACGACGAACTGTCCACACTTTCGGCAGATGAGGGAGTTCCGAGGGCCATAATAGAGAAATCTCGCTGCAATAAGCTGGTTATGAGGCGATACAGCCGGTCGGTTTGGACGACACACTCTACTAGAATATGCAGAAAAACATATTTTTGAAGATTCTCCAAATAGACTCATGTTGGTGTACCCTTCATTTCGTCTTTAGGGGCGAGTGAAAGGCATTCATAAATTGGCCACGCCAAAATCAAAAATGCGATTTGCTTGATGTTGTGAGTAAGGAATTTTCTAAGAACGACCTCTGTGAACCATCCCACGGATTCATCGGGGCCGCCGTACGATTTGTTGAGGCCAGCTTTGAACAATTTTTCAGTCACAACTTCAAGGAAATCCTCTTTGCCTTCTGGAGGGGCAAATTTATTAATGCTTTGCACTCGCCCCCAAAGATGAAAAAAAGATATGACGACATCTACCAAAGTGTCTTTACATTGAGACAATAAAGCTCTCAACCGACACTTTTGCGTAAATTTGAGGTCCAGATCATTTGTCGGGGTTGAGAAGAAAAATAACTGATTGGCTCACTTTTTCGTACATTATTACCATTTTAAAATTGCATAGCTGCAACCATTATCTGTCAATTCTCAAGCATCCTTCCAGCAGCCGAAGTAGAACGACCTGCATCATGGCAGAACGAGGTTCATTAAATTATTGCGCGCACAAAGACCAGAAACAAACGCGCCAATAACCAAAATATTTCGCAGCTAACAAGAACCTGATAATCTCGTTGAGAGACAACAGTTACGACAAGTTTTTGTTGGCCTGAGAGCAAGCCTAATCACGAATTATTCGAAGGAGTGGCTTGAACTCGTGTTTGTGTTCATGTCGTCATTCATTCCAAAAGGTCATCCTCATCCAGCCAGGACTCCAATTTCCACTTTATCTTGTCGTCTCGTCAGCACTCCCTATTGGATTTTTACCTTGGCTGTCACCTGTAATGCTAGCAACAGATTCTTATCGAATCTCTAAGCAACCTGAAGGTCTTCTAGGTGAGCCGGGTGTGAGGACGATTCTATTTCCTCGGTTACAATCCGTCTGGGGGTACTGAACGAGGCAAAAACTGCAGATCGAACTGGCGAGGACGGTTTTTTGGAATGTATCGTAAAGTGAAAAACACTTAAAAAAATAAGGTATCTCAACAATTCATTTTAGACAGATGCTGCAACAGCGTAATACAGTAACAAGCTTAAACTAGTACGTCTTGACAATAAATAAGAGCTTTAAGCAATATAAGGACTTATGGTGGTGTTTTTCCTACAATAAACCGAAGAGACCTTACGATTCCATTGAAGTTCACTCAGTCTTGCCTCCTAGATAGTTTTCTAACCCAGGCTAAATTGCAGTTTATGCGAAGAAAAGTCGAGTTTAGAGAAATCTCATGTTGAAAAGATTCGACTAAACGAATCCTTTTTAGTCCTTATGCGAGAGAGAAATAGTGAGCTAAAAGTAAAGAGAAGTGACTATTATTAGAACTAGGACAAAAAAAAGTTACGTCGCCTCCTTTTTGCAGGCGGCTCAACACCCTCTCTATCCTTGAGTCTATTAATAAACACAAGTAATTTTTACTTATCTTCCTGTCGGTATTCCTTACATTTAATGTATTTCCTATTCGGTTTATTTCTATGGCTTCTATTATTTTACGTTAAGCCGCAGACATGCCATATTCAGCAAAACTAGAAGTTTGAGACCATTTAATCTCGTGTCCTGTTTCTGCCTTGTGTCCAACCAACTCCGATTTTGAACCCAACAGCCTCCGCAGGCACTTTTGTGCTCCAACATAAAAGCGACCACATAAACACATTATGTTGTAGCGACCCGATCTGGATGATGGGTTAGCTTTCTCTCTAAAAGTGGGGATAGATGAAGAAAGTGTTGTAGTTTCCCTGAAAACCGTTTTTATTTTCCACTTCCTTGTTTGTTCACCTTTCCTTTC